TCCTGAATTGCAGAATGTTGGATAATTCTTAAATGTAAATCTAACTCAAAATATCTGTGTTTCATATATACAGTTAGCTTTTCAATTTAATAGTTGTATTGTGTGCACTGAACAGTTTCAGCATATTACAAAGAGAGAGCAACACAGAAAACAGCTGGTGAAGATCAGAATCTAAAAAATGTGCAGGTTGTACATGTACTCCATAGTATAGCACATTTTATAAGCTTAGTTCTAAAATGACCTTGTGATGAAATAAGTACCATTAATTTATTCAAGTAAACACACAAATAAAGTAACACATTGAGTTACTCAGTATATCACTACCTGCTTTTTATTCTCACAAGGCCACTATTAATTGCATGCAAAGTTCGACTACTCCAAAGGAAACCTAAAAATGTTAGTTTCTCACAAAACCACAGATATCTGAAAACCAAATTTGGTTGACTTTCATGTAAAAAATACAACACTCCTTTTCCCCATTTTCATTTTAAGAAAAAGGGCGTTCATTTTCTAAGTGTGTTAATGCATGGGCTGTGTCTACCCCAAAAGAAGACTGGAAAACTGATCACTCTTCAGAAGTTAAATAGCTTACAACTGGGTAAAGAAGCAATTAAAGGACTATTTCTGCCATCACTACTCCCACTGAACAGTAACTTATTCTATTTCCATTGATTTAAAAAATGTCTCACAAGTCAGTAGTCTTTCAGAATTTCACTGCATCTGAAGTAAGGGCCTCCTCAATGGGTAGACAAACTGGGCACAGAAATTTTCAAATAATTTCATGATCAAATTTCCAAGTGCCATGCCATCCACTGTATCCACCAATGTCTAGAAGTGTCCTGCTTTGCAAAATCATTGAGAACACCCAATGTCTTGTTCAGATCTCTCAAAAGGGGGTGGGAAGAACAGGAAAACCATGACCTCCAACAACAGTTCTGCTACTCCGTGTGTCGTACTATTTTGGTGCATATTCAAAGAACAATGTTTGTGATGTGAACATGGAAGGTTTATACATGAATCTTCTTCAGTTCTCATGTAGCCTTAAATTTGCCTTGCTCCACAGAAGAGATTAAAGTGTCTGATGTTATTTAAAAGTGACGTAGCTACTATTTTAAGATTTTACTCTTGGAAGGTAAACATTTTGCAGCAGTCTATCTGGGTTTAATGTATGTTTTAAGTTTACAACATTTTCTCTAGTATTGAACAGTGGACTAGGAGCCTAAAACACTGTGCATTTTGAATATCAAAGTATAATTTTGGGCACACCAATGTGTGCAACATTACTGTGTATTTGACTTTCTGGAAACTAAAAATTTATGAAAACTAACATTCTTATGAACAAAGAACATTAATAAATACAAGACTTCTGTTTAACCGAATCTAAGAAAAATACTGTAAAACTTCAAATGCATAGGCTTGTTTTGAGAACATATTGTACAGCAACATGAAGTATTCAAGGTTTTTGTAAAATACGTAAGGATAATTGCTTCCATTTACTGCAGATACTTTTCCGCTCTGTCAAAATCAATATGCAGTTATTCTCCTCATTACCAATAAGGTGCAAATTTCCCATCAATTAGGTCATGCTGACATTTCTTTCAGGGTAACTCTTAAATAAATTTGAAACACAAAGTCTGAGGGTCTTGTGAGTAAAGAACTACACAATGTCAAATGAGACTGAGCTGCAGATGGGGAATTCTGCTGTTTGATTTTTCCAGAGCTAAAATTTGCAATGCACTTGCTTTTCAGAAGCAATGAGCAACCATGATTATTTCTTATTAAGTGGTGAGTGCTCTAGCATCTTCTGAATAACAATGAAAGCCTAATTCTCACATTGAGCTTCTTTTGATCTAGTCTAAAAGGAATTCCTCAGATGATGCAGACCCCAAAGTTCTGTTAATGTTAATGGAACTATGCTAATTTATACCAGCTGAGAAGGACTTGAGGACCCTTTTCTGACACCCAGAAAGTGCAAAAAGACCTCAGTATAAATAAAAACTAGTTCCCCACGATCAAATCCTTGTATCAGTGAATTCATGAGAAGTTTTGAATTGATCTCAGTAGGGTCAAAATTCCATGCAGAGTAGCTACATGCACACATAAGCTTTGTCAACAACCATAGTAAGGTTTTGAGTTTTTTTCTTTTTGGTAAGTATGAAAGATGAATCAGTTTTACCAATCATACACACACACACACGCACACACATACATGTATATAGGATATATATGTCATATTCTTTTTACGCATGGTTCTCAGAAAATTCAGCAGATGATTAAAATTTCCATAAGAATTCTTAAAAAATTAAGTAATGATATATGTTAAAGAGAACTCCAACTCTATGCAAAAACATTAAAAGCGTGGTGTTTTTTTTTTTTAAAGTTTTCAAGTTACTTAAATTAAAACTGTTTCTGAATTGGTCGGTTTGATGACAAATGTCAGTTTGTCATTTGAAGTGAGCCACCTTTACCTTCTGAAGTACAAACCCCTAATACAGATAAGTAATTCATACCCATTACCTGGAAAGAACCAGGATGAAAAGATGCACAACTACACTTGTGTCTTTTACCATGGTATTTTTAGGATTTACTTGAAAATGCATGTCTGTACATCAGTCCTGTACAGATTCCATGGATGCTACAACAGCAACAGATGCAGAAGACAAGTGGGAAATAAAGCCTTTCTCTTTTGTTTCAAGAGAATTAACTTTAAGAGTGGAAAATGACAGGATACTAAAGCTTACTAATCATTTAAAACACAATGCAAACATTAATTACAGCTGATGTAAGTAAAAGCTAAATACACTCTCAGGATCTTTCAGATTTTCTATGCTATACATTTAAAGACAAGGTATCAATGGCATGCATCTTCAGCATTTAAAATGCATTTAATGGGTTTGTCTTTATTTTGATGTTTGAACGCAATTCAGACTCTTTACTTTCCCTTCCCTTGGCATGACTGGAAATTTCAGCAGTGTTCACATATGCAGCAGTTACTCTTAATGTTTCGAAGCTCCATGAGGCACATTCACCTCCTGTTTACTTTGTTTTCATCCAGTATTTGCTTCTCCTGAACAGAGACCACCAACGCTGATGAATTCTTGAGGCTTTCTGGGATGGGCAACCAGCCACCTGGGACCCGACAGAGACTACATGTTGCTGTACACATGACCTTCGCCAGGCATAAACACAGCTACACAGTTCCTTATAAGTAAAAGGATAGAACATGGGTCCATAGCATGACTTTGCTTTCAAGTTTTATATACAATATTGAAGAGTATGTTATCTGTATCCATTTCTGCGTTTTCTGTCAGTTCAGAGAACTCCATCTGAAGACACCAAGATAAGGTAGAGGACACAGAACTTAAATTAAGGATGCAAAGGTATTTATGACTTTCAATGATTAGACATAGTTGGAGGCATTTGAAAGATGCTTTTTTGTTCAGGACATGTACTTTGTGTGCCAGAGTCAGCTGCAAGTACTAATGCAATTAAAAATCCCCAAATGCCACACAAGGTAGATATTCACATGAGATACAGTCCTGCTAAGTGCGCACTCTTCTTGTTGTTCAATTCAGTGTTGGTTTCACAGTAACAAACACAAATTGTCCTCATTTCTATATCATGTCTATGGAGTCATGGGCAGCAACAACAGATGCAGACTCAGTCTGTCACTCCAGAAGGAATACGAATGTGCTTAAAACTGCTTCATTTATGAAGCGAACATGGAACTGTTACCTGCCTGAAGAGAAAAACAGAAATTATAATTTTGCTGTTTAATTTTCCTCTCTGTATTACTAAACAGCAGACCTTTTCACAGACATATAACAGATATTTTTTCTTATAATTCTGAAAACAGGTAAATTCAATGACGCTTGCATAGACATTTCTTTACTCTGAAACAAAAATTACTTTTATAAGATGTACTTTCTTGGTCCAAGAACACACCTGCCTGCAGAAGTTCATTGATGCCATCTATGGTGATGAAACAACTCTCTTGATTTTACAGAACTGTTATGTTTGTGCATTTTGGTATCTGGTAATCTCTGGCAGCGAAATTCCCTTTGAAGTCATCTGGACAAGCCAATATCAAACTGAGTTTACATCTTTTGAAGAATCAAATGACTTGCCCAATGCAATGATGATTTCCCTTCTCAGTGAGCAGATGTTAGAACAAAGCAGTTAAGGAGACTGGAAATCTCTCAAGTTGTAGCTACCTAGATCACAGCGAACACTCTGGAATACACCTGAGAGTGGCTGCTACCAGATAAACTGTAAAACTTGGATTGCCTGTTATACTCTTATCCTGCTCTTTCCACCCACGCAATAAAATGAAGCATTCAGCGCTGCCTGAATCTTCCAGACCCTTGCCAGAGATGCCGTGGGTTAAGTACAGAACAACTCCTGTGGTAAGAAGCCCCTTGCCAGAGACGTGCACTGTTCTGCAGAGGACAGCTGGGACCGAGGAAGCTCACTTGCCTTTGCTGCTCATTTTTACATACTAAAGCAAGAATGATGTATCTGATAAGGCTACAGAGACTGCAAACTGTGCTGAGTAAACAACAATTCATAGAAGCTCTGCTCTACTTGGCCTGTTCTGCATTCACCTGCTAGTTTAAGGATTGTGGTTTTTAGGTCACGCTGCATTGAAACAGCTGTAGGACAACAGGTGAAGACTTCTCCATATCGGCTCTCATGCCAAAAAGGAGAAGCAGTAGCTGGCCTTCATTTTCAAATTCCAGCATATTTCATTTTGTAACAGTCAGATTAAAAGTCAAATGCCTTAATTAATGATACAGAATTAATTACATGAGCAGCTAAAGATCTTAGGTACAACTGAAGCCTATTGATAACAAGTTTCATTTTATTTTTTTCCCAAAATGGACTCTGAATCACTTTATATTTCAGCAGCCAAAAGTTATTAAACCTATTGTAAGACTCTCAACCATAACAACTTACCAGTACACAAAACAGTAACAGTGTTGAGGGAGAAAAAGCAACAGCTACACTTGTAGATGTTCTTTTTCTTTTTGCTGCAACATACTGAAAAAAAGAAGGTAATTTATTACTACAGTGCTTGTGTTTCAAGGAAACAGAATGGAAGGTTTTATCAGCTATTTACAATAAAAACATTTACATGTAATAAAAGGGAAGCCGAAGTATTAGAATTTATGTTTGCTAATAGGTCTTCCTAGTTATAGAGGAATATTACATATTTATCAGGGAAGAGGGAGAAAAAAACCATACGCCATATATTTAAGATGTCTGATGGAGAATGTAACTTCCTTAAATTTCCTATTAAGGCCATCTCTTGCATTTAACTAATTGTTCTGTTTCCTCTTTCCTCTTTTCCTCCTATAAAGCAACGTTTCTTATTTCCTATGAAGTTAAAAAGAAGATGCACATTTCATTTCACAAGTTTTAATACCTGTGAGGATGAGGTGCACGATGAGTTATTTGTAGCAGCTAATATACTTAGTGAATACACAGTCTTCCATTCTATGTACTATACATGAAGAAAATTTGTTATAGAAATGTATTATTCTAGAAAGTTTAAACACTGAAAATTTCAGCTCCTGTGACCAAAACCGCTAGATCAGAACCTTGCCTATTCCTGCCTTCAACAATGGGCAGCACCAGGCGTTTCACACAGTCTAAGAAGCCTATAGGGTGTGTCCTTCTGCCATCAGCATCAGATTTTCCTTTAATCCCTCATAGTTAAAATTTGACCCAACACCCTGAAATATGAGGTTAGATAATACTCTCAAAATGCTTTAGCATGCACTATTCTAACTTAAAATATCCCTAAGTATGTTTCTGATTTTCACACATTTTTTGCCCAAGTCATGTCCAAGCAACTTTAAATGTCTTCAACTGTTATTTCTAAGGTATATTTGATTGACTGAGTTACAGAGAATTTTTTTTCTGTTTAGAAATCGAATAAAGCAGTGTTTAAGTATGAATAGAGCCATGAATCATTTCAGAATGACCTTATGAAGTTATTATGATTGAAATGAGTTCTCATTGGCTTTCTATTAACATAAAAAAAACCCTCAGAAAACATAGATGCTTATATACACATAACCTGGGGAATGTAAAAAAGTGAAAGAACACAAAAAAAATTAATGGAAAAAATATTCAAAAGGATTTAGAAGCACAGCCAGGAAGACACTGGTTTCTATTTACTTACATAATATCAACCTAGCTTTACACCACAGAGCAAATGACAACATTCGCTTTTTTTCTTGCTTCCCCTATAGGTCTCAGCAGTCCTTTCTCACAGTGGGAGTAAGGACAGCTAAAGTAAAGGTAATGTTTATTAATATTAATATTAATAAAATTTTGTATACAGATATCTCCTCCATCTTAATTTTTATATTTAAACTAGGAGGTCCTTTAAAGGACACACCCTAAGAACACATTTTACCTCTACAGAAAGATGCTGTAATTGGTTTTTTTTGTGTTTAGAGCTAGAGAAAAACCTTCAGGAAGTAGCTCTCAAAGATAAACTTACTTTTGTATATATGTATATAAAGTAATACAATATACCTTATCTCATTTTCTTCTTGACAGTCATGACACTGTGTAGTTTCGTCACTTTCTGGTCTGGATTTGGGATGTGTTTTCTAGGAAGAAAATGCATTAAATATAAATATTCTAAAGCTTTCTTTAACAACTCCCTAAACAATTGTTGTATGTTTCAGTTTGCTTCAGATTTTCAATATCAAAGTCATTTTGCAAAATGTAGGTCAAATCTTGTCCTCTAACATACATCTGCTACTGCTACTTTTACTATCAAAGCCTTTGTATTGTAGGCAATGGCACAAGGGGTAAAAGCAAAAGAATCCTCTTCTCAAGAAATAATAGAAGAACTGGGGAACTGGGGGAATCCCATGTTTTTAATTTCCAATTAGACAGCTATCATGCTGATAAGACAGGATTTGCACTTTGGTGGTGGAATCCAAGGATTTGACAACATAGATTTATATTTGCATGTCACACAGTTCAGTGAAGATCAAAAGAGATGTCTCTTGCTTTCAAATGCAGAATGGTTATGTTCTTCCTGCTTCCTGATAGCGAAGAAATGTAGTATCACTATGTAAACAATTAAATGTACCATTTCTTACCTTCCAGTATATGGCTCCCAAAATAAAGCCAATAAGAAGAGACAGCAATGATGTCAGTGCTATGCTGATTCCTTGCAGGCTGGAGCTGCTAATGAAGCCAAGTACCTCTTCTGTAATTACAGATGTTCTCATTAGTGATGACAGATTTATAGCAGAAAAACATCTTCAGGGCAACACTATTAGCAAAAGCACTTTTATGTACCACCTACATAACAGCATCTTAAATAGCAGAACAGATACTTCAAAATGCTGTGTACATGAGGTGCACTTCATACAAAATCTCACAGGAAATTTTTGACCACAAGGATGCTCCTCCCACTTCTGAAACAGCTGTGTTGAATAGTTCAACACTAATTCCTTTTTGTCATTTGTAGACAATTTTTTCTTTCCCACACTTCAGAGTTTGGGGTTTGCCAATTTTTAAAGGTCTTATTTTTTAACACAAAGTTATTATTTGGAAGGGAATATATCTGTCACTTCATGCGTTTGCTTAAGTTCCATAAGACATATCCCACTGACTGCAGATAGACATTTTGCCTTGCCACTAATGAACGACCAACATGAAGCCTCTTGAGGGAGGTTAATTTAACAAAATAAGCCTGACTTCACTTCTAATGCCTGTCTGGAAAGGTCCCGCAGACTTCAGCTAAGATCAAACCCTTGTACCTTGAAGTCTAGCTGTGTGTTATTTTGTTGCTACCATTTCTTGGTACCTTTTTACATTTTATACAGAAGAGCCCCAATCCTAGTCTTTTATGTACACAAGCAATTCCATTCCCCTCACAGGGAGCTGTATGCATGCTGAGACTAAAATGTGGCCCTCCAGTTATTTAATCAAGAGCAGGATGTGAAAAGTCCTACAGAGTCACCCTGGGATCCACCCTCTGAAATGCAAAGCAAGCCACAGAGGACTGCTAGTTTAGACACCATCCACCCAGTTTTGGTTCATTTCAAGATTAGGTGTCTGCAGCTCAAATGGTGGGTGTATTGTCAGATTACAGGAAAAGACCCAAACTGTAAGCACTGGAAAAGTATAGGTGATTAGCTACAGAATGAAAATGGACTCATAGCACTAGATATTTCTATGACTCATGCAAACAGCAAATGTCTAAGCACGTATGGTATGATATACTGGGTCAAGCAATGTGCATTTAATACATTATTAAATAGCCTCTAAGAAAACAGAGTTTAGTTTAGAAAGGAGCATTCTCATAATTAACTGGCAACTCATTTTCAACTCTCTGAGATTTTCCGGTTGACATTTTGCAAGTTTTTACACAAATGTTCTTTTCATCTCTGAAATTCAGCTGTGTTTTCTAGAGTCACAGTAGACAGAACTAGAAAGTAAGAAAACAAAAAGCCTGTATCTTATATAATCATATACCACATATATCTCTGTATCTCACACACTGTTTACAAACTCTAGGTTCTGACTATAGGGGCTTGAATTCTACTTACATCTGGTAGACTTGGCACACTAAAAGGAAATATTGGTCAAGCAGAACTGATGCTAGCTGACCGTGAAAGCAATCTGTCTACAGAGGAGAAGGGAAAGATAGCAGACAAAGTTCTACAGAGGTGAACATCAGCTGAAAAAGAGAGCCTATTGATTAGTCTGCCTCTGTCTGCTCGGACATTAAAACCAAGAGCAGAAATTAACTGGAGGGGCATTATTTTCTCAAACTGTCCATCCTAGATTAGGCATAGAGGACGTTTGCTTGCAGAACTTCAAGAACTTCAGAACCTTCAAGAAAACTGGACAAACTCAAGTGGAATAGAGCCAGCCTGAACATCTCAAAAAAAATCCCTGTCATTACTTTGTCTGAGTTGTATTCTCAGCATATTCTCACATGAAAATTCCTATATTGCTCTTGTGCTCTAGCCAAGAAAAATGCAACACTGATTTGCGTAATACCATTAGCCATTCTTCCCAGTGAGAGACCACTGAGTTATACAACTGAATTATGTAAATCCTACGGGGTTGGTCATGTTTTCTGGATTCTGCCCTGCAAACTTCAGAAAAAATGGAAAAGTGAAATAAAAATCAAAGGAAAAATTCTTCAGATCATAAAGAGCATAATTTATTTCATAACTTGTTCTGGTAGAGTGTATAACCTCAAAAATCCTCTGCCTACTCTGCAATGCTGGGCAGCATGTCATGGCAAGCATGCTGATTTTTACATGAACTTCTAGAGAAATGTTCTGTATGCAGGGCAATCAGTGATAGCCTACCACCCTCATTTTTACCATTATTTTTCACAAACTTTAGAGAGTCTTAGAAAACAGAAAAGCTCCCTTTACAATAAGGTATTTAAAAGTGGAAAAATCTGATTTCTGAGAAGATATCTCCAGTGCAGATGCTTTCTTCAGCATCTATGGAAAACTGAAAGGAATTCATAATTAGCTTTCCATGTGGGGACCTGCAACCCAGGCACAGAGCCTAAATACAGTCGAATTGTTACACCCTCCCCAGACTACCTTTTAAAAATGACAACAGATCTTTTTTCATAACTTGATAGCGTATGAATTAATTTGAAAGTTAAGTAACGTATAACTACCTTAAAAAGCAAACAACAACAGAATATTTAATTTCATTTTCAAGTCCAGAAAAAAGTCTCTTGAAAGACCTGGAGAGAAATGAAATAAGTCATGGCAGGTTTCTTCATATGCCTTTTATTTACAGTAACATCTAAAACTGAACAGAATTTTCAGTCTGGAGAACCTCCCGGGGACTTGTGTCCCAATGAAGAAAAAGGAGATAAGGAAAGCAAGCTGGCTGCCAATAGGTTTTTATTCCTTCCATAGGGACCTTTTCCTCTGTTAGAAACTTTAGAGCTCTAAACAGAAAGATTCCCACTCCCAGCAGTTGTAAAGGCAGAGTAGGAGAAGGAATAGGAGGAACCAGGTGTTTCAGTAACTTTGTGAACTCCTTGGGCAATGCCAGAGGAACTGCTGGCTTTGCAGTTAGTATATTATTCACTTAAAATAGACTCTATCCAGCAGGGTGCAAAAGGGGAGTGGAAGCAGGCCAGCACCTCTCAGAGCTCTCACTCTGCACCTTATGGAAGAAAGCCTTAGGAAGTGAGCTCATCTGATGTAGATTTATGTATAGTCTTCATGGACACTGGGATATTAATCTGTGAACAAAATATAGTTACATTAAAAGCCACTCAGCTACACAATGAAGTTATGGAGCTGCTTTCCACCTTGAGCCACGTGTGTAGGTTTAGCAACCAATTATGATTCAAAGCACTGACTTGGCTTTTTTGCCATATATGTCTCAAAGGGATTTTCAGTTTACCTCTGCTCAGCTCCAACACAATTACCACAAGATCTTATCTATAAAAATGCAGAGCAGCTCTCACCTGTTCATTAGGGTTTTCCATTAACTATAAAGTTGGAACAAAGGAACAAAGGCACAGAAGGCAACGCCAACTGCATTAAGCCATGGGTGAACATTTTCAAATTGCTGTGCAATTAGTGAATTAAACTATGGTATTCTTTGCTTAATTATAAAAGTAGACCTTATTCCTAAAAACAGTTGTAGAGATCTGTGTTTACACTTTCTTTGAGCTGTTCAGTACTGAATAATAAAGCTAAATTATTGTGAGAAAATTATAGGCAAAAATGGAAGAAAGCAACACTGAACTTTCCATGAAAATATAAGTAATACCATGGCATTGAGTGACAAGTGTTAGTAAGAGCTAGTAAGTTCAAGCTTTAATCAGAACAACATCAGATTCATCTGATGGGAAGAAAAAAGACTACTACTTATTGTTTGGTTCAACCACTGAAAGAAGAGATCAGGACTCAAGACTTCTTATCCTGACACTTGTTCTTTACATAGGAACCATCTCATCTGAATTATCTAGACTATGCGTGGTATAATGATCCGGAGAAACATCAATAAGACTGGGACTAAAACAGTTAATTGGAATTTAAATTGGACTACAGTCATGTAACACAAAGAGAAGAAAACAAACCAGCCTAAATAAATTGAGGGTGGTGGTGTTTTGAGAATTTTATGGGGGAAAAGATGAATTGGGAACACGCCACAGATCTACATTCAATATTACAAGGATGAAAATAGCACTATTGCCATTCAAAAAAAAATTAGAACGGGATATTGTTCCATTTTACACTTAGTTGGGGTAAGAGTTTTGGTGTAAATTTAGTCAAGATTCTACTCTATTATAGTAGTTTAATTTTACTGTTGTGTAATAACAATGAAGTAATGAAATATGACTCTTTCAACAAATGTAGCAACAACATAAAAAAAAGTAATTTAGCTAATTTATGTTATACACAATTTCTATGGTAATTATTTCACAAATTATTTTATTAGATGATGCACTTCAGGTTTGTCTAAGTTGAATTTAGAATTAAGAGCAGTTCAAGTCATCTGACTACACAGACTGTATTAATTGATTCAAAATTTATTATTAATCTGGAGGCGTTCTTTTGCAAACAGTGAATGCTTCTAAATGGTCTAGAAACCATTAATTTTAAATTGCTCAGTTTAAAACTGTTTAAAATTAAAGAGGGTCATTTACAAAAAAAGTATTGCAGTAGTTTGTGTCTGGAGGTGCTTTTTTCAGGTTTCTCCTCTTCTCCAAATGTTTTCCTTTTTGAAATTTGAATCTATTGGTGCTGTTCTGAGAACAGTACTGAAGCCAGCAGACAGGGTCCCCTGTGCTGGGGAGTCTTCACATGGGAAGTAATACATTTTATTCATTGTTGTTCCTTCCAAGAAGGTAGGGGTTAAGTAAAAACGAAAACTTACTCAACAATAAAGCCAAGACAAAACTAAAATCAGTACTAATGACCATTTTCAGGGAGTAAGAGAGAGATGCCAACAGAGATGCCAATAAAGATGCCACAGGTCCCTCCCTGCAAAAAACTCCAAACAAATAACTAAAGTGTAACCAGTGCCATCCAATGTCCAAGTTAATTTAATCTGATTATGAGTTGAAACTGTCCCCAGCCCCAGACATGCAGTCCTCATGTCATTTCCACATAAGGCTGCTAACTGATATCCAATTTTCCAATAAATTGCTTAAGAGAATGATAATCAGTTAAAACACACCTGTGCAGCATATGGCCAGCCAAGCAATTTCTTTGACTTACTGCATTATTTTAATTAGGCTTTTTTCCTACTTGATTATCAGTTCCAGTTATAAAACAAGATTAATAAACCTGCTTCTGTACTCCCCTCCACAGTACAGACACACTCCACTGCTCTGCCCAGCATCCCTCCTGTTACTGTACTGGGTCAAACTCCTTTCATCTGAACAGCTCCTGTAATCTATCTTTCTTTTGGCTCCTTGATCCATTCCCATTGCTCCAGGCTGAAGCTGAATATTCTTCCTCTAGCAGCGACAGTGAAAATTATCACATGTTCAGACCTGAGAGAGATAGGTATGCACTCTTTAGCCCTCTCCTAGTGCCTCATAATTGGCCCTGGGCTCATCAGGTTATTTGCAGCCAGCTCTGTGACCTCTTGGCAAGGAATTTATAGCAGTAAGACTTCTCTTTTCCAGAGAGGCAGGCTGGCAGCCAAGAGTTGAAGGTGGTTGAAAGTTGGTGGTCAACCTACTACTTAGGGGGTTTGGGGGAATGACAATTTAAGATCTCTGAATTAGAAAGCAATCTGGAAGGACTTAAAATCTGACAGCAGTTGTGAGCCAACTAAGAGGTGGCATGCATGGTGATAAAAACCCAGAGAATAACTAGATTACACATTCCAAAGAGAAGGAGCATGAGAAGAAACTCAGTATTAGCGGTATCTGTCCCACCATCAGGAGCTACTGTTGTGCCCACCAGGCTACACCAGGCTGTTTCCTTGCCCATGTTTTCTTAAGCACAAGGAGTACCAGCCACATGCTTCATCATCACACATTTAGATAACATGGATGCTTGTGAAGTGAAAGGGGGAAATTGTAAAACAGAGACACATTGTCATCCAGATGTATCTGGGAAACAGGAACAAGAGAAACAAGAACATGGTTAAACTTTAATCACCATTTCAGGAGCCTCTAAGGAAAATCCCCTTCTTTTGTTCACATGGAAATCTCCAGAGGATTCACCATGTTGTACATGACGTCACTAAAAGCCCCTGAAACTTCAGGTTCTCTTCACCTCAGATTCCTTTACCCCGTCTGACCTCATGATGGATATTGTTGAGGCTCTTACAGCAACAATTCTGGGCTCTCTTACCTGTCAGTGACCAGTCATGTAATACACTGACCAAAACAGATGAGAAACACGGAGATGGCCATGCCAGAGAAAAGATTAGAGCCTGCCAAAAGTGTAGTGACTTTATCCTTGACCTCAACCGAATCAACACGCTGATTGTGGAGCTGGCCTTACTGCAACTACAGCAAGCAAACACAGGGACTGTCTTCAGGTTTGGTGTCAAGCTTGGGACTGACGGTACTCTCAAAATGCAATGTACAGGCAACCTCTTTGACCACGGGAGTACCCTGGGACCAATTTAGGACAGCTATTCTGTTTGTTTCCAGCAACTTCTTTTTCTGAGAGTTAAAATGAGGTGTCTGGGACAGCCAAGTTTGCTGAGGCCATATGACTAGTGAGACCTCATGACAGCCAAAACGAAGAGACCTGCCCTCTCCAAGTTGTAGAGAGCTGTCACGTCATTGTAACTTGATAGCATCTCTAAATTTTGATTAGATAAGTTCACTGCATTTCAGTATGACAGCTGAGAAACACATGGTACACCATCAGGCACAAGTAACTTCCCATTAATTTGCACAATTAATGACATTCTTTTCCTCTGAGCTCTCATAACAACCAGCTACCAGAACAAAATGGAGACACATATTAATTCAATCAGTTGTACTTACTGTTACTGCTAGTGTTACTGCCAATGCTGTCATTCCTAAGGGAGCTGGCAGCAACAGGAGGAAACAAAAATGTTTTTGTGACAGCGACTCTGGAATCTAAATAGAAAATTAGTGTGTCAGCATTACGTAACTTAAAATACAGTTCCCTCTATATAAGATGATGGGCTATAGGGCTACTCTGATGTGGCTATAGGGCTGTTTTAGAAATCCAGCTACAGGGCTGTTTATAAAGTGGATTAAGCCAAAAAAGGCAGTCTTATTAAGAGGCATATGTGTCTACACACTGAGCTGCTGCTGAATAGCTATTCTAGAAAAGCAATTGCTTTAAACAAGGTCTTATATTATGGCACTGATCTAGTTACTACTGGTGTAACTGTGCAACTGGATACATTGCCCTAATTAAAAAGCCAATAGCTGTCACTAGAGAGCGTAAAAGAAAAAAGAATACAAAACCTCCATTTACTGGAAGGATGAGAATGAACTGCAGGAGCCTGACTTGAGTTTGTTAAAATTTGTAAATGAAGTAAACATGGCCCTTTTTAGGAGGGGTGGGATGAATATAGAGGTGACTTGAGGCTGCTGCAATTTACAACTTGTCCTAGCTTCCTATTTTTTCAGTAGTGCAATCTTAGGCTCCTTTACTGCCTTATAAAAATTAAATAGAGCATTAATAGAAGATAAGAAGAACAATGTAAAAAGATGATCCAGGATATATTTGGGATGAAAAGAAACAGAGCAGAGTATTGTGAGGTTTTTTGGATTATATTAGGGAATGATGTCACTAGGAACGATGGTACTAGTTTTACTGCCAGATAGAACTCAACTTAGAAAAGAAATAAAAGCTTTGGTGTTGGTAGTCATTTTAACTGTCAGTAAAAAAGAGACATGGACATACAGCGTCAGATCCTTAGCGTCTCTGAAATCAAAGGAAAACCACCCATTTATATCTACTTAGATTCTGTTCCCCAAAATGAAAGCCATCTTACCATTCTCCGGTGTTTTTACTGTTGAAGGCAGAATGCAGTCATTCTTATCCAACGTGTCTGCAAATTCCTTGTAGACCTCAATGGTACTATTAAAGTGCCTAAAAAACTCCTCAGGAATGAAGTGACCTTCTTCATAAAGGTGACCATTTTCTTTTACAAAATCCTAGGGTAAAATAAAGAATTCAGCTTGAAAGAGGTCAAGAGAGATGCTCATTTCAGCACCTCAACAGATGATAAAAATATCCAAAGATGACACAAAATAGTTTAAATTTTTAACATGCAGAAGACCAAATTTGCTGTATACAATCTTCATAAAACATACAAGCCTTCTGATCTGAGGATTTCAAATTAGCTTTGCAAATAGAAATAAATTATTAATGCAGTATTGTAAAATTGCCAAGAAATGAAAGGCAGTCTTCCACCCTATGCTGAAAATGAAGAGAGGGTTTTTTTATTCCCCTCATTAAAAAAAATTACCTTGATTTCACATTACTTTGCAATGTTCCGCATGATCCTTTTAATGTGAACACAGGAACACAACACAATCATAGCTATTGTCATAAGAGTACAGGGAACAGCATACAATAGCTGGGATACACTACTGCACAGAAGCAGTCTGAGATCCCTGATAATGTACCTAAAAATAAGAGCAGGACTATAAACAAGGAAGCTCAGTCACTCTGAGGTCTAACAGACAAGTGTGTTATGCCAGACTAAACAACAAGATTGAGGTCTATGTTAAGATCATTGATGCTTATCTTCTTTTTACCTGACTCTGGGTTTCATAACAACTGTTTCTTATGCCAGCAGGTTGAATTTGGCCTGGGGTTACTCCGTACTACCAAGGAGGACAGTGATAAGAACAGCGGTTAAGTATGTACTAAGGAAAACTTCTGAGTTTTGGCTCCAAAATTATTTTATGCTTAATGCTGAAAGTACTAGACCTAAGATCATTCTTCTCTGAGGAAATCAATAGCTGGTTGTTTCTCTGAATTACAGGATATTTACTTCTTCATCCTACAAAATAAAATTCCTCTTCCCCAACCACATCCCAGCTGAGTGCTTTGAATCATCAGGACAAGAATAGAAAAAAAAAAAAAAAGAAAAAAAAGAGATACATTGAAGATTGGACAGAATTCAGTTTGAAATGGAAAGGTAGGGAATGTCTAAACACTATCAGCAATATAATGCCAATATATGACAAGGTTACAACGTTATGCCACTCCAGATGAGATTGAGTGTTTTAGTCCATTTGATTCATCTGGATGTTAAAAAGGTGCAATTAAAACAGCTAAGGTCTTACTTGACAAAAATAAACATATATGGAAGATGAAATCCTTGTCCTAAAGAACATGATGGATTTTGCCCATTTTGTTCAATGGGACAAAACCTTTGACTGCAGAACTTATTTTTAATTACTGATAGACTGGTTAGAGCTGGGTAAAGGATTAGAAAGTTATTCCCCCCCCCCCATCATTTTCACGTAAGAGACTCAGATGTCTCTTGAGTGAGACTCCTGGAATCCTTCCAGCTGCTGTTGGAATCCAGAAACACATGGAAATGCACTGATACCCTCTAGCCTTTGCTGTGTCTTTGTATAAAAAACTTCATTAAACCATGGTGAAGCTTTCAGAGCTTCAAGCACTGTGATACATACTAAGAGTATATTAATAGCTTCAACCACATTATCTTTAAATTTACATTAGGATCACTAGCAAAATGAATAATTTAAGCTGGATGCACAAGGAAGATGCCAGTTTCAAACAGACTAGAATGAATTAATTATCTTAAAGATGATGGTTACATTTCTGACTACTTAAATAACTATATACAGGTCATTGTATATACTGTAATTCCTTGTAAGCCATTTTCCTTTGAAACGGGAGATAATGACTAGCCAATGTTAGCACAGTGTACTCAGTGCGTTTCTAAACACAGTAGGATTTCAGATGTAGAGGAATAGAAATGAGAACAAATCTAATGAAGCTTTGGACTTTTTTAACTATTACTGAATACTGTGCAACAGAATGTTAAAATAAAAATATCCAGCATAAAAGTAGAAACTGTGTATAAGATTACCTTATTTTTATCAAAAGCTAGGCATGCCATAAGATCATTAATTATCCTTGTGAGATTATTGATGATTGAATAGTTGCTTAAAACATCAGACATATCTGAAATATCTGAAAATTTCTGGAGAAGATTATGTAGACTCCTTGAAAACTCAGGCACCATCAAATGCAACCAACAGTGATTGGGCTGTCAGGGGATAAAAAGAGAAACAGAGAGGTAGATTAAATATCAGACTTTTGCAAAACCTGGTTAAGCAGTTCAATGTGCAAACGTAGACTAGACTGTTCTTTCCAATTTAAATTATCTTGAAAGTCTAAATTGATATCCATCTTCTTTAGGGTGGTCAAGTCTCTCCTCAGTCCTTTTGGTAAAATTTCTATTCTCACTGATACTGATATATTTATGGTTGCCTGTTAAATGCCATCCCTTCATTAAATTCTTAATGAATGCTAAGCATCAGTCTGTTGAGAATTTGAGCCTTGAGACATACTACTATGAACCCTCTTCCATGCTTTCATTAACCTATTTATTTTTTTTAAATAACTACTGCTTTAACAATTTTCTCCAAACTTTCTTTAAACCAATCTCAGTTTTCATTTTATTATTGTTACCTCACATGACTCAGGTAACCCCAAAGATCCTTGATTTAAATCTCTTCTGAGGAAGGTTTCCATAAACATTTTGCATGAAATCCATGTGTGCTTTTATCTACCTTTAAACTAGTTAGCTTAGTTAACTCCTTCTCTTCAGCTTTTTCACTAACTGCCATTCCTGAGAACAGTTTCTAGAATTAAAAGTCTTTCATTTCCTGAGTTTTTCCTGACAAAAGGGTTCTGCACACCCTGTCGCAGTACCTGCCACACCTGTGCCACTGGAATAGAGTTCAAATCTCTTCACTGACACCTATGCAATTAGTTTGCAGATAAAGTTTGTACAGCTGTTCATGTGACTGCAACCTGGTCATTCATCTTGCTGCCTTAGAGGGAGCCATTAACTTCTTTTACTTAGACTTACATAACAGTAGTCAAGCAAATAAAAAAGCCACCCAGCCCTAACTCAATATGGTCAGCTAAAATACAGGTAATACATTAGTCACACTGTAACATGAACCCGGAAATCCCTTCCCAATAAATGCTGAATTTTTAATGGTAAATGTTTTAATGGTAAATGTTATGGGAATTTATTCCATATGTCAAGCTATTTTTTCAGTGGTTGAAAATGTCTCAGGATCATTAAAGCCTGCCAGGTATGAATGCCTTGGCCCAGCAACTCCTACGTACTCTCAGTATCACTGAACCAGTTTCCAGTTGCTGGCCAGTGGATGGGCAGCATCCACTGAATCCATCCACTCCACCTTCTGCAGTGCACAGTAAATATTTGGTGATGGATCTGCTTCTAGACTTAATCTCATTTTACTCAATTTCTGCAATGAACCTGCATACAGATTCTTTATTCAACAAAATGTAGCCATTACTATCAATATCATCACTTGGAGACAAATCACTTTCTTGGTGACACAGGTGGTGTTCTGCCTTGATGTGTAAATGTTTTTGATGAGAAAGAACACACTTCACACTTTCGAAGACTAATCAGACTATTAGGCTTCCAGGCTTAGAGAACCAAATGTAAATACATTGCTCATCTCCACCTGACTTTTCACTTTTGTGTACAGCTCTCACACACAGATAACAAGGGGCAAGTCATTATTACCACCTGTAGTTTTCTCAACAGTAACTTAAGAGAGAATGAAACAAAATGTGAAATGGATGGCGTTTGGCTTGATTCTGCTTCCTTTTTTTCCTTCGAGCACAACAACAGGAGGGGAAAGGCAGAAGGAAATAAATCAGAGAAAGCTTGTTGAAATGTACTCCGTTCAAGCAGCATGCGTTGTGCCATGTCCCATTGTCCTCATGAGACCATGCATTTTCCTCTGCTTTGGTGTAGGAACATGGACACAGAACTTCTGTGCTTCCCTGAACTGCAAACCTGGAAACCCTTTTCCTCTGAGGCTTTGTGGGTGTGCATTATCCTCTGGCAGGGACTAGCAAAAGCTTGCTGCTTCTCCTAGTGAGCATTTGGCAATTCCAGCAGGGAATCTATTTTGTTGCTCCCGCGGTTTAGCATGTGCGTGGGAGTCTCCTCTGACTGAACCGTTCTGCCCTACAAAGCTGTATTTCAAGAGAGCTTTAAGTTTGGGGCGGAGGGGGGGGGGTGTTTCAGTAATATCAAGCTGTGCAATCACTTGCTATCTCAATACCTACCAAACACAGGGATGAAACTGCTGAAATTGAGAACTGTGTCGTTGTCTGCAAGGAGAAATGGAGGTTTAACTCTGCTTTTTTGTGTAAACTTTGACCAAGATTTACATTTTAGGGCAATTACAGACCTTACTTCCCTTCTACTTCCAGGTAGTCCTCATTTAGCTTTTTCTTTCTACATCTATCTAAAAGTTTGAAGTTTATCTCCTCTTCCGAGTTCAGCCCCTGCTGCTGTCATCTTTGCCTTTTAACCTTCAGGTTAGACTACACAGTTCATTCTATGCAAGACTACTTTTAAAGCCACTCAGATGCCTTGAGCTAGTGCATAATGCAACAACCCTTCTGTTTAATGGATCGGGTCAGTCTGTTCCTGTTATGTGCACTACACTGGCTTCCCATCTGCTTTGCATTCACCCTGCCTTCCTACCTTTAGTCGTCTACATTTGAGACTTGCTACCTTGCGTACATTTCCCACTTTATGTACGCACTGAAGATTGAAATCTATTGAAAAAAAATGCAGATCACCGTTTCAATCCTTTCAGAGCTGAACAAAGGGCATTCGCCTTATGCAAAACTGTGGGTTTCCCAGCTTGCAGGGACCTTGCAGAACTCAGAGCAAAACCTACTTATTCAGCCAGCCTTTGCTGTGGTATGCATAACACAACCGGAAATCCCCAGAGAGGAATTTGGCAAAGTGGGATATGAATACTGCTGAATATTACCTCCTGCGAAGGCATGTGGCCAAAAGCTGCACCTTCCATCACCACAACTGAAAGTGGCGTACGAGCAAAGGGAATATGGAAATCCCGGCTCTGAACTTCTCTTCTTCCTATTTATTTCTTGGCTGCTCGTCATAAATGTAAACTGGATCTAAGTTTCTGGATATGATGCAGCAAGACGACATGGCATTTAAACTACAGAAAAGAAACTGCGTACTGGCAGCCAGAACTGAACCATGGAGCAAGGTAAGAGTTAAGCAGTGAGAACGACCAGGACTTATCGCTCAAGCAGGCTCCCTGGCCTTCTTCATCCACAGTGCCAACGTCCCCAGGAGCACAGCAGAGGGAACAGACCCAATCCAGCCTGGTTCATCAGCTGCCACACTCATCCCGGAGGCTGGGGAGTAGCGCTTGGGCTATGGCTGTCCTCCACAGACATGAATCTCATCACATCAGGCACCAAAATCACTGAATTTCAAAAAGCACCACAGACGGGGGATGGTGGCAGCCAGTCTTACTTCCTTTTTTTCTCAATATTAGCTATTGTCAGAAATGGAAATTTTTCCATTAGTTTTAAGTATGTTATACAGGATCTAGTACCTGACTTCCATAGCATTTGTTCTGTAGAGTTTTTCTGTCTAAGGAATCAAGTTTAAACGGGGTTTTCTAAAGTATTCTAAGTTTCAGTAAAAGCCTTGAGCTTCTAACAAAACTAATAAGAACACTGTCAGATCTGCCATAATACCTCGTAACCTCACAGCTCAGGGCCCTTCACTATCCCACAGCCTCCTTTTCCTCCAGCCATCTTCTGGTTATTCAGGACTGAAAGAATGTTACTTTTGGCATCTTCATCCAATATCAATAGTGAATATTGCTAGATTTGCTACAATGCTGTAGATAGAGTGCATTTTTATATGTGTATCGCACAGAAATTGGATTTTCATAATGAAAACTTTGTACAGACACAAAACCAGCTTCTTGCATCTACCAGGTGATTTCCAGCTACTGATGTATGTGTACAATGATTCATTCTTAAGACAGGCACAATATTGTTCAGTTTAACTGACAAACTAGTCTTTTTCTTACTTTTTATCTTTCTTTAAAACAATATGGTACAGGATAGCATTCAGCATAATTTCTACTTTCACCTTGTTTCCTCCTCTCCTTTTTCTTGCAGTGTATGCAACAACCAAGAGAGCATTTTCAATGCATCATTCTAAAAATATTTTTTAAAATTAAGGAAAAACATAGAAAGTATTTAGTAGAATAAGCAATAAGATAATATGAAAAAGTTTTTAATACAAAATGTTATAAAATTTTAAAGAAGGTAGATGATGCTTATTTGAAAGTATCACTATGTATTAACTATGGGATTCTACAGAAAGAATAATACAAAGCATGTCTGAGTGAAATAATGTCCTCGCTTTTTACTGCTTTGTTTAGTTACTGATGTTACTGTTTGCTGAGCTTAGGGTTCTCTTTATTGGCTACTCAGTATTTGTTGTGCTTTAATGGCATTTCCACTGGCTGAAACAAGAAGGACATTCTACAGTATGTTCCAAAGTACAATTAGTAGAAACTACTTCTTCAAGAAAGCAACAATTTTCAATTGACATGATGAAATAATACCATTGTTTGACTTTTTCCAGAGAAAGTGTTAAAAAAATTAATTTGAAGAAACATTTTTCTAAGATTCCTGTAATTAAAAGGGTTTTAAGTGACTGCAGGAATCTCTCTATATTTCTTTTAAATGAATACTTGTGAAGCATATGAGAAGTGAAATAACCATTATTTAACTGTAACTTACTAAGCCATAGGACTAGGTACAAAATGTTAGGCCATCACTGGTTCCAGTGGGCTATTTTATTTGGATTAACTTGAAGTGGTTGTACATACCAGACTATCCATCTTCGGGACATATTTAAGGGTTATCATATAATCATTTGGGAGATTTCCAACCTACAATAAACAGATAATAAAAACGTTATTACTGACTACACACAGTAAGACTTAATTTCCATCACTGTATTTAATGAAATCTATCAAATATTCAACACAAATTTTCAGTAACCTACCAGGTGCAAAACTTACATACCCAGTTTCCTGTGGAACTGCTACTGACTCTTATTTGCTTACAAGTGAAACATCTTTCCACACCTGTGCAACATTCCCAGATCTGATCTTATCATGTTCAATGCTACCAATTCCCAGCAGAACTAAAGTCAGTAATGTGGTGAGGAGAAGTGATCTGAGGTTATTCATTACTTCAGAACCTCCACTGCATTTTCATCTTTTAATGGCATGTCTTGAAGTGTTTACATGACAATCTCTATGTAAGTGCAATCACCCAAACAGCAGAGGACCCAGTAGTCTCTAAGCCTTTTTCCTTCAAATAATTTCCAGCTTCAGCAAGCATCTGAACCTAAAGAAATACTTGCCTGCCTTGTGCTTAGTTATGTACCAGGTCAGAAAACCACTTCAGCACAACTTTAACTTCGAAGCTGTGCCTCCTACTAGTGATGAGCAATATTATTATATCATAGCAATATCCTGGGGCAAAGGAGAGCTTCCACACATGTAAACTGAGCACGGCTTTGCAGATGTGGGTGAGTACAGGGTGTGCTGAAGCAAGGTCAAGGAGTGGAAGAAGGGTTCTCACTGAATTATACAATGTAATCTGCCACAGATGGGATCCAACACTACTGTGAGATGTGGTTGATCATCGGGGGAATGTGCTGAGTGGGGAGATGAAGAGGGAGATACTGCCATGATCCACAATCTCTTGAGTTATTCTTTTCAAAAGGTTTATCAATACTATGATTCTTAGTGACACAGCAAATCTATTTTCTTTTGTATCAGTGAAAGATTCAATTGATATTTCTCATCCTGGTTTGAAATCAATTTAGTCAAAAGACAATAAGCACATATATAATTCCTTTGTTGAACCAGAAGCTATACTTTGTTCAGCAAAGCATTTCTACTTCTTCAGGTTAAAGATCATTCTGTTATGGCTGCTTTTGATTCTGCTTCTATAGCAACCAGCACAGAGATTTTTTTTTTCCCTGTGCAGTTTTTAGGTAGTATTTTGTTTGACACAACAGAATGTTTTACTTGTTCATTAAAATTTTGTTTCAGTTAAAAAATTAAAAGAGCAATTTCAAAATGTTATGGTTCTAGAAATGACCAAGGACAATAGTTATGCACAGTCAGTCACTAGTGAATTCCAAACATTTTTGTATTTACAATGTGTGCTGAGCCTCAATCTTTCAGTTCAATGACATCTAGCTTTCTCCTACAGCTTTAAAAAACAAGTTTTATACAAATGATCCTGATAAATTCCTTTCCATAGATCAATTTTCTTTTTTACTTTTTATTTTTATACCTACACATTCCCAAAGCAGCAGTTGCAGAAGTGCCACTAAAATTCTCTATACCAATTTCTATTAACCTGGCATTTTGGGGAGTTGATTCAAGTTGCTATAAATACTGAAAAATATTTCAATACATTTGTTCTTTCTTTAGAGTATCTGTTTTATTCTAAATTCTCATCCACAATTTTTTGTATATTTTTCCTTCCTCTAAAAACATCCTGACATCATGACACATTAATAGGTAATCCAGTTACTTTTCCAGCTTCCTTTGCGTGCCTAGCGAGGTAGGATTAGCAGCACTTCAAGCAGTAAAGATAGTGAAGATGCTACTGTATGTGCAAAGTTTCCTGTACTCACTCTAGAGGGATTCAATACTTAGCAATGTCAGCAAAAGCACAGTTCTTTAAGAAAGGTCACTGGAAGATTAAATTTGTTCCAAATCAATGAACTCTACAAGAATTGATATGCATTATGTATACAATCTACTTTACTGGCATCAGAGCCTGTCAAGCACTTTTCATGCACAGCTAAAAAAATGTAACTGCCCAAGAGCTCTTACAGCTTCTCAAACAAAGCCGGAGAATACAGCTCAGCCTCAGATATTTGTCTCCTTGACAGACTGTGAATCAGAAAAGATATTTTTGAATTTACTACTAAAAATGAGGAACACAGGGGGGGAAGGGTGTCAAACACAAAATATACGCCCTGCCTCAAGACGAAACAACTTGTTAAAGTTTTATTGATTAAACTCCACATGCCAGATGCTCTGCTTATGGTAAATGATGGAGCTCAGTCAAAGTGAGGGAGTTATATTTGTGTCCCAGTTGGACTTCCCAACTCACGCACAGAAAATAGGGTAGAGCCCCTGATGTAAGAGTGAAAGATATGTTTGTACTAAATCTGTGCATTTTGTACTTTCTTGCCTTCCTGAAACGAAACTTGAAATTTCGTTGAAGACTAACCAAGACTATGATCCAAAACCAACCTCTTGATTTTCAGCTGCTGAAATGATCCTGAAAGGAATGAAAGGACTCTGCATACCCACTCCGTGCATGGTGCCTGACTGCTGTGGCTCCCAACAAGGAGCAGAGGACAAGAGGGCTGTGAGCCACCTGAACAAAGGGGGATGGAAAGGGAGCGTCCCTGGAAACTCCCTGAGTCCTGGAATGGCTTTTTGGTTCCTGTACTCAACTCCTTAAGCACAGTGACAAATTTGGGGGCAACAAAACACCTGTCTGCATGACTTACCTTGGTTTAGACAAAAGTAACTATTTTGATGATTACAGAGAACTGACAGTCCTGGAAAGTAACTAAAAGAACCCTGCCTTGCAATTAAAATTCCACAAAAAGTTTCTGTGATTTAGTGTGTGTGTGTGTGGTTGTAGAAATACTATCAGGCTCTGAAAAGAGGTGAAGAACAGGGAATCCAGACTTATGTCCTTAAATCCGTATAAAACCAACATTAAGTGCTATATTCCCAGTTGTAACAAAATCTCAAACTGGGGAATGTAAGATTGCTTTTGACATACAGAAGTCTGAATATTTAATACAGCACTGTTAACATTGCATAACCCAAATATGCTCATGGTCACAAAGATGGGGAGATGAAAAAGGAATGTTGTAAAAGCGATTTGGGTTCCATAAATTGCTCTTTCATCGCAACAGCAGAATATAAGAGATGACCTATCTCTGCAGTCAAGTGCTTTGAAATGAGGGCTACTGCTCTTGGAAATTCTCTTTATTGTGACTTCTGAAACTTTTGAGACAAGCATAAATATCATTATTTTTTTATACACAGATCAAAGATGAAGTAAGTTAATAAAGTAAAAATTACCATTTACCATTGTTGGTGATTTCTTTTTTACTCTGAGGCATATGATGGGAAAACCATACTTTCCTTTTGGCTACCATGTCTACCTCCCATTTCTGTCTTTGTCATTCCCCTTTTCCTACTCTTTAATACCTCTGCATGTCCCTTCTTTGCATCCTTGGCTTTTCCTGCAGGAGCTTCCACCTTCTGCCCATCATGTCTGTAATCTACTCTATCTCATCTACTAATGAAGTAGTTAATAAAATCCTCATCATTTGGCTTAGGACAACATGTTAACGATTTCCATTCACACTTCTTACAGCCATAGTGGCAGATTTGCAGGATAACAACACTGGATCATTTCTTATAACCCCTTCACTCAGGAGAGTTAGATCCATTTAAAAATAAATATCAAATGTTGCAGAGAGGGTAGAGAACACATTTACAACAAAGATGCAATGTGAAGGCAAAGTGTTTGAAACAGCATGTCTTGAAGAAGCAACCTGGTCAGTAAATGCTGACTATTGTTTGGGCTTCCAACATTCAAAAGAAAAAAATTGCTTTAGAGAAGTAGAACACGGAAGAAGAGGTGAATATCTCTTGGATGAAACCAAAATCTGTAGATACATTCTATACATACTGCAGAGCTCAGTGAAAATTCTACTTATATGCAGGTTTGACGTTCATATTTAACAAACATATATACAGCAGATTTCTAATTCTTATGCAAAATCAGAGTCACAATTACAGCAATGCAGCTTCCTGCTGACTTACTGTGCTGAAAAGAACAATGGGGACAGGCTTTATTGACAGGTGCTGCAATTACAGTTTCATAATACAGAACATTTGTTCATCAAGTAATGTGTTTCCCTCCAGACATCTTCATTAAAAAAGAAGCAGGAGTTCAAGTGATTAGTAATGCAGAATGAGTACTCTCTAAATACTTTTGTTCTCTATAGGTATGAAATTATGCTCTTTTAAAGTTCTCACTATTACAAAATGAACAAAAAATGATTGTTCAATTGTTCTTTGCATCTTTAAATCATTTTACTTAGGACACATCCTTCATAGGAAAAAATTATATTAAAGATTTGAATAAATTTAATCTTACAGAAAATGCAAGTCATTTTGGTATGAACAGATACCAGTCTGGTTTGGTCTTAGGTTGATTAATGCTCAGAAACCTTATTGTTATTGTATCTGCTCTTTCTTTCCAATTCTAGCTTCTGGTATAAGTCTAGTATGATGCTAGTGAAAATCCAGATTAACACCATTGAAAACAAGCTACACCATACATCTGTCCTCAATTTATCACTCAACACAGAGTTGATTAGGCAAATGACCCACATTTTCAGGGACTGCACAGCGTGCCTTATTTATTCTCCAGTAGCTTATGCTTAGTAGACATCCCTGGTCTATACTCACAGAAAATGCTGACAGAGGCATGTTCTTCCCATATTCCTACAATACAATAAAGTTGAGCAGCACACAGCTGCAGCCATGCTCAGGGGTTTTCTACTAATGATATAGGGGGTTTACAGCACTTGGAACAAGAAGCCCAGAAACAAATAAATGAAGACTAGGTTGTATCAAGCTACAGGCAAAAGAGTTTGGTAGGGAATTGTGGCACTGTTTTGCAAGCTGTAGGTGAACTGCAGTAGAGGTAGGGAAGAACAGAGTAGGAAAAAGAAAAGAAGAGGGACATGGATTCATGCTGCAAAGAATTTTAGCATGAGATAGGAAGACAATGAGAATCTGCCTGGAGTTCATCAAGGAGCATTCCATTCTTCCTGTAGCCGAGAACAATGTAACAGGTACCATGGAAATAATGAGGACAAGCTAGGACAAGAGGGCAAACTCAGCATGTGTTAAGGCATCATAGGCCGTGTTAATAGTTACTGCCTTTGAGGACAAAACCAAGAAGCTTGCTGTTGATAATGAAAAAAAGGAGGAACAGCTTGAAGGAAATAAGTAGAAGATGAAGAGTCAGAGCAGCAAATTAACAGGCAGAAGGGCAAAGTCAAAGCCAGAAAAAGACTTTTCAGTAGACTGGATTTTTATCCACTAAGGATTTGGAAGAAAAGTGAATCTGTATGGACAGAGAGCTACCAAAACTTTTTTTCCTCTTATGACAGGAAAAGCAATGGAGGTTTTAAAAGTGAACTTACACGGGTCTGCAAAGTGTTAAGAGCCAAAATGGACACCTTTGTTATAGACCTGAATGGCTGGAGAGAGATGGTGATATACCTTTACAGTGAGGAGGAAAGGCCCAGGGAAGACTAACATTTTTGGGAGATGAAGATCATAATCTGCCTCAGTGGAGGACTCAGGCCATACTGAATCTAAGCTGATGTCTGAACATTTGTGATGAGACAGGAGGAAGAGAGGTCAATATCCTAAGCTAAAGGATGAGATTTGTGTACTACCGCTGAATGGCTAGTCTATTGCACACAGATACGGGACTATACTCATGACTGTGGAGGGTTTAAAGAACATGACAGTGTGGCCAAGAATAAAGCCTTCAGAAACAACTGTCATACCAGTCTCAGCAAGTGTGATAGAGCTTGTGGATAATATCACAGTAACTATGGGCAATAACTGTACACACAACATTAGGTCCTGTGAAATCCTTTGTGCTACAATTTGTTCTTAATGTGAAAGGGGAGGACATTTATTAAAGATATTTTGTCCTACTGGAACAACTCTTTGGATCAGAGGAGAAATAAGACTTTCAAAGGCCAACAGGATCAATAAAGAACCCAACCACCTATGGGTGTTCTGTCTAATTTTGAAGATGTAAGTCATCAGAATATAATTACTTAAATCAATGAGTATATTTTGTTTCAAAAAGCAGAAGTGGTACAAAAACATTTATAGTAATTTACAAGAGTTGTAGGGTCTCCTGAACTGTATTTCTAAGCAGTATCATGCTGGAATCCATATTATATGTACTAAGGGTATACTGCATATATCATAAAAAGATTGTACTTTTTAGCAAAGTAATGTGATCAGTCAGTATTCTCTGTGAATTTCTGCCTTCTTATATTCACACTGTCAGCTAATGATATTTTGTTTTAAAAGTACCTTAAACTTTATTATATTTTTTTTTCATTTTGTTCTCAATGTCAGTTGTCATAGTGTAGCATTTCAAAAGAGAATAACCAACTTGCAATATAGTCAGTTTAATTGAAAGGAAGAGTTCTTATACTAAATTTAAGATACTAAACTTATTTCCATGTTATCCTTTCAATTCTCAAGTGGCTTTATAGAAATTACTTCCTCATGAAAAATCTATGCAAATATTAACACAGACAGACAAAACAGGGATACAGACTTTCCTCAAAACATTCTCAGAGGCACAACTCAAAACAGAGAGAATCCAGGTGTCTGGGCTTTGTATTTTCTGCATCTGTCTGTTATTTCTCCAACCAAAATACCTTTGAACTTGCTAGTTAACTTCACCCAAATTTTGCATTTGGTAGAGAGATCTGAAAGGTATGGGTGTAAGTCAGGAGAAGGACTGTACAGCATCCGTACTGAGGAGTGGCCGGAGGAGCTCAGTCCTACCCGACTCTGCTCAGGCTTGGCAGCAGCAGAAGTGCAGTGCAACCTGGACAGCTGGAAGAGGTTTTCTTCCAGGACAAGCAGCACATACACCGTAACAGTTGCCACACGAAGTCCCTCCTGCCCAGCCAGCAGCCCAAGCAAAAGGGGATATAAACCCAGCAAGCACTCAAAACATTGGTCAGGGAGGCATCATGCCTAGGGGGCATGGAAGGGAACTAGCATGTGGGGAACTAAGAGGGGATGTGGAGGAGGGTGGGGGTATGAAAACATAGTGCTGCAGGCGTATGTGCAAGAACTGCAGTTGCTGGATTAACCTGGAGGAAGACGTAGGAACACAGTATGGAAAGTCACAGTCAAATTGAAGACTAACCTAATTTTTATGATATTAGGTGTCTTTCACAATTTATCTCAAAAGCAAAGTCCTATTGCTCAAGCTGCATCCAAATTTGTGTAACCTGTATTTATACATTCTTGAAGGTTAAATTGTACTAGAGGGGAAGTTAAAGTGTTTGTTCTAAGGATACATAACTGATAAAAAAAGTTATCGCTAACCCTGTACTAGACAATTTCACCAGCCCTTACAGGAGTTCTGCTGTTCTGTCATGCTTTGAACAGGTTGAAATCAAAGCTTAATACTCTTTCAAGAGATGAAATATTATCTTGAATAAACATGCCAATACATCAGGATTCTGCCTAAAGGGACTAATGTGAAACACTAAGCATTTGAGTAGGACTACAGAGCACCCCCAGAGATTTTCACTATGTGCCCATGTATATAACAATTCACAAAGAAAACAACTTAAGAACGCTGCACTGGCAGCAAATGCAAGGGACTCCAAATTAAGTGTTTGATAATATTAATGCTGGTATTGCAATTGTTTTTCCATAATGAAGCCATAATTTTCAGCTGAAGTGAATATGTAGATGAATGTATGCCTAAGTGTTCAGTATATATTATTTCTTAAAAACTTTGGTGTTAGATCCTGCACTACTGCAAGTTAGCATAATCACTGACTACTTCAGTGGAGTTAAATACCAGCTGACTTCACAGAGGAGATGCAGTTTTTCAGGTTAATGCACTGTGCAATTAAGTAACAGTTAAAATGTACTTAAATTAATTCAGTTCTTATACAAAGCTGTGAGTCCTTCAGACTTAAACTTCTACATACAGCAAGTAGAGAGAGAAAAACACGTAATGAGTGTAGCCCACTCACACCTAAACACTGTAAGAGCTGTTCAATCGTTATTGCCTTGACTATTACAATGACGTCTAAAATTATACTATTTTTATACATGGCACCAGTTTCCCATATACCTAAGGTAAAGACTTCTGATTCATTTCAGTTGTGTTTGCCACCAGTCTGCTCCATGCAAATCAGTAAGACAAAGGCAATAATCATTCATCTGCATGGGAAGCAATCTGATCCCAGACAATGTTTGAGGAAATCAAGACTTTTGACAATTTTTATGGAAGTTTGGAGGGAGGAAAACATATACGTAGATACACTCCAGCTTGGTCAAGAAGGTAATCTTTTCAATGAACTCTAAAACTATTCTCCAGTCTCTGCAATAAAGGTTTTGGTTTTGATCAAGTGACAAACATTGATGGATTTTTTTTTTAATATTCCCCTGGTTCTAATATAGATTTGCTTAAAATGTAAGTGCCATTAGCCACTGATTATTGTTTAACATAAAGAATAATTTAAAATAAAATCTACTTACCAATTTTGCAATGTCATTCACATCATCTGTCACTGGACTCCCGCAGGAACTCTGGGCTTTGACAAGAGGATTAAGCAGGAGTAGTTGAAGACAAAAGCAAGTGATAATCCAAGTCTATTTAGTAAAAAAAAAAAGAAACAAGAAACTCCAAGTAAACAATCTCCAAATGTGAAGTAACAAGAGATTTTAGTAATGTTTTTCATATACAAATTCTAGATCCAACAATACTCTTCAACTTTCATGAGGACATACTTGTACCATTATAGTATAATCTTCATGGCAGGGATCCAGAGAAATGCACTTAATTGATCTTTTCTGGAAGTAAGTACCTCTAGAGTAATAATGGAAAACCTGGTATTGAGTCATCAGATTACTTGCACAGGATCCTGCTTAGGTAAATTTCTGCAAAGCTTACGGATATCAAAGAAGAGAAAAAGACAAACTTCGCAAAATTCTTCATCATCAACACAAAGCTATCTAAATACTTGTCATTCACCTGACAAGGTATTTGATAAACCTACTCCTCTAATGTGATGCTGGTTGATAAGGAACAAAACGATACCAGACCACAGCAAGATAAAAGGAGACAGTTCATAATCACAGCCATTACATTTGGGTACTTAAACTGCAAACAAAACCACAACTGGATTCTGCCCAAATACTGATATCTCAAGCAGCAATACACCACATTTTCTCTAAGTGATGTGGTCTGGCCTCTCAGGAGCGGCAGCTTGGCTTTGGCACTACATTCCCCTCCTGAATTCTATTAGGAACAGCAGTGCAACATACTCACACAGGCTTGTAAGACTCAGCCAGAAAAGCACCAGATAACTAGCTGAAATGCACCTGGGTGTCTCCTTGGCTACACTGCCTGAACTTCCTCACCTTCTGTTGTTCCTTGTGCTTCGCTGGTTTCCCACAAAGCCCTGTGCCAAGTTTAAGCTGCTGATCTTTATTTCCAGAATGTTAAAGCATTTAAGTTATGGATAATCAAAAGTTGCCTCAGGTTGTGAAGCTTCTTGTGCCAGCTGACTGAAGCTGTCAGCAAGAGCTGATGATGGTGTACGTTTACTGCAAATATGGAATTTGCCTGTGCAGGCTCCCAGGTCTTCACAAGGGCAGGACTGAGATGAAAATTTGATTTTGCATGAACTGAGATGCATCAGTGTTCCCTGTGACAGGTAGAGAGCTCCTGTTTCCAGCCTTGCCTTCAAATGCTATCCAACCTTTCAATTTAAGACCAAAGCAAATCAACCAACACAGATGAAGCTCTCTAGTAAAGCAGAGAGAGAAAATTGCAGATTTAGAAGATAGAGTATCATTATAGTAACCTGGAGGGGCTAAGAAAACATGATGATAAAGATTGCTCGGGAGCTACATAAACATAGAATCATAGAATCATAGAATCGTTTAGGTTGG